TTCTATTTAAAGCTTAGCCTAATCACTACTGTCTTGCAAAATTCCTATCGAAAGCATGTACCCAACAATTTATCTCAACTTATATTGCAGTCACATCCCAAGAACCTTTCCCCATACTTGATTTTCTTGTTTATTTTGCCGTTTTATTACTTGTTACAAAACCCCATTTGATATTTAACACTTTCGTGTCACCCCCTTTAATTTACTATGTCTTTTATCGCAAATGTCTTTAACTACGACTAAGTTGAATGAAATTCTAATTGGTTATTAATTTTGAAAAACCGCTCCCTTGGGACACGACCCCTACCTTTAGTTAGGTTACTATACTATCGATGATCGCAGACACTCATACTGTAGGTTAGTGTCGTTGGTCATGATAAGCATCAAAATGGCGCTGCTGTCGGGGAGTGGTGTTATTTGAGAATTTTTAGTTCACTAGAATTTTCGTCTTATTAATCGTAGATTATTAACTTTACTCTTAGTTTTGTTTTTCTTTGAGTTTTTGATTTTATACAGGCACCTTGAGAACAGCCGAAAGAAGGGGTACCAAGTTATTTGAGGCGAATCAAGAAGTCGAGGGTGACTTCATGTTAACTACGCTTGTAACTCAGCTGAACATCTTGCCCACCAAGATCTTAGAGGTGGAAAACCAGTGCACAAGTCTTGGGAGGTACATGCCCCTTCATGAGCGAAGGGAGTCTAGAAATAATGAACACAACCGTGTTGAGGATATACTGCAAATCATTCTCCTAAAGGTCACTGAACAGGACCGAGTGATAAATGAGATAAAGGAGAATGTTGAAGTGTTGAACCAAATGGTTGGTTCTCACTCTAGATCGATCCAGCTGATCAGGTCGCTCTTGAGTTATGCAGTGCCTCCCCTCCACTCAAATGAACTATTGGGGTTGCCTGGGAACGTTGGGGTCAACCCCAAAAAGGGAGATTGAGTAAGAACTTGCGTCGTGCCACGACGTAAAATAAGGCTCTTCTTGGAAGGCAACCCAAGGTTTTACTGCGTTTTAATTAATTATTCTGTTCGAATAAGGGTGTGCTGATTTTTTATGGTAAAATGCGAAAGGTGTTGAGTAGTACAGGATGGCGAGCCAAGGACCCAGTGGGCGAGTCACCGAATCTATTCGCGATTTTGACTTAATCCGCCGTTGGGACCCCAAAATAAGGGATGTCCTGTAAAACTCAACAAGGTAAGTAGTCTTTCGGCGTATCACCGATGTTATCGGCGACATGACTAACGTCGCCGAAAGACTTGGAACTGGATGGTTAATATATTGCCAAAGACTTCAAAACTTTCAAACTATTCACTTTCCCTCGCTTTTATGCTTCACAAATTCACCCTATATTAGTATTTCAAAATTAGTGTCTTCAATTAGTATTATATTTGTCAATTGGTGGTCGGAACTAGGATTTCTTTGCTGCCTAGCATTAGAAAAAGCTATTTGATCGGCATACAAGCTTAGTCTATAAAACCCCGATTTTATTTTTGAAAATTTTGCACTCATTTGCAGTTATAGTATTAGGATAACGTGTGTTGGGCCTCTCTGATAGAAATAGGTTGCTATGATGTTGTTTTCAATTCGTAAACTTCGCCTAAAATGCTTAAATGATTGAATGCCTTAGTGTTTGAACTTTGAATTAGTTGATATCGATAGGGGTGTTGCATGTTAGTTGTTAGGATGATTGGGGGAAGTCTGAGTATCTCGAGAGTGATGGGTAGTGCGGGTCTTATTTGAATTTCATGAGTGCATGCTTTGATTTGATTTTCTGGGATTGGGGGATTGGCGAGTTAAATTGAGCTCGCTGAATGTCTCGGCGGTTCGTCTAATGTCCCCACCCTGCCGATGATTTGGCGCCTCGATTGGAGTTTGGTTTTGTAACTTTTGGCGAGAAGTCTGAGGGCGCCAAAAATGCTCGGGGACTCGCCGAAGATATTATAATCGCCCTTTATCTGCATCCCTGGAACCCTATTGCACTATCACTTTTACATATCCTACTCGCCGAAAGTAGTCTGTGATTCACCGAATGATCCTACCTATTGCTGTTTTCACCTCATTGTTAAGCAAATTCCTTCTGCAAGCTCGTTTTGGCTCGCCAAAGAGATTCGGCGACTCGTCGATCAGATCAATGAGTTTATCTGCAATAACTTTTATGTACTTGCATTTGAGTTTCTTCTTGATCTTTTGCAGAAATGGTACGCACAAACCTAAACGACCCCCCTCAGAAAACAACAAAGGGCATTACAATAAATGAAGGAGGATCACACCCTTCACAGAAAAGAAAGCAAGATCTCCCACCGGGAGATAAAGGAAAAAGGAAAAACAATATGGCAAAGAAAGGAATAGTTGTGGAGCCAGATTTTGTTGAACCAGAGGATGAACTGCCTCTGATTGACTGAAGGAGAGCGCTCCGTGCCAGGTCTCAATCCACAACCACCAGTACCCCATCAGCTACCACTATGCCTACTACTGCACCAGTGCCAACCCCAACACCACCTCCAGTGGCTCCTGCACTTCCCGTAGTTCCACTTCCACCGAGATTGCTGAACAGATTGAAATGAGATGGTTTACGCACCATTATCGAAGAAAAATTGCTAACCGTGGAAAGCCTGGAAGGTAAGCATGCTGAGGTGCTTGAAACGCTTAGTTATCACGAGTTTGAGCAATTAACGAGGCCACGGGGTACTTACATATAAGGGTGTGCATCGGTCGAATCGGTTCAGTTTTATGTATTATCGGTTTTCGGTTTTAAAATATGCTAACCCAATAACAAACCAATAAGAAATTTTTTATCGGTTTTTGATCGTTATCGATTCGGTTTTCGGTTAACCCAATAAGAAAATGTCCATAAAATAATATATAATAGTACGTAGGCTATAATTACATGTTACCGCCAAAACATAATACGAAACTTCGGATGTTAATCAAATTACTAACATTCACAAACTTGCAAAAGCTATCGCCTACAATTACGAACTAAAACTAATACTAAAATAAAATAGTTGAACGAGACAATCTTGAACAGTTGCTTGATCCACCATATAATCAGCAAAATTCTCACCAAGTTCCTAACCAAGACAATCTCAAAGCCTTAAAAAGAAAAAGACAACCACCAATTTAATAGACTATTACAGTAGCATTTTTACATTTAATGACAAAATGCTTTTGAAATCTACATTGAACTCACTTTAATAATGAACATATTTAATGAAATAGGCTCCACAAATGCATATCATCCACCCTCAAATTAACATGGTAAGACGCAGACTATCAGGCACAATCACTAAATTAACAATTCCATTTTTATTAGCAACTAATCCATTTATAGTATCATCATGTCCCTTAATTGACTCCAAACACTTCTAATTAGTAAATATGTATAAGTGTTGAGCAAGTTAAGCTTAATAATATGCAATATTTGGCCTCATATCCTAATTTATTTTCTTGACAGAAGGCTTATACATTGAAAACCAAGTAAATACATGACTTATAGCACCTTGTAGCTAGAATGGCTTACCAAATGTCCAAATCCAAGTGCAAAAAAGGAAGAGTTTCAACTCCACATTAATCATCCAAAATGCTAGTATTAGCCAAATCTATAGAAAATTTATGTTAATCAACCAAAACAATGTTAATGACTATTTACAATAACAATTAAAACTATTATAATTAAAATATATGTACCTTGTTCGAGCTGTTCAAGGACATCTATATCTTCCTCAACACTTATAGGTCGTGATACACTTCTAATCCAATCTTGAAGGCACACTAGAGTTTGCACCAATTTAGGAGTTAATGAACTCCATAATGAATCCAAGATACGTCCACCAGTACTAAACGAACACTCAGATGCCACACTTGAAATAGGAATACCTAACACATCCCGACCCATCTCAGCAAAAACAGGAAATCTAGGTGAGTTTATTTTCCACCAAGACAAGATGTTGAAGTTCTTGCTTTCAACTTCATTTTCTTCAGCAAGATATATTTGCAATTCTGTTTTGACAGTTGTTGTATTTTCAGCTTTATGTTTCATTAGATCACCCATGAATGTCCCTAAAGATTCTATCGATTGGACACTACTACCTGAACTTGAAAGTAGTGAACTAGAATTTTAAAATGAAGAACTAGATAAAGATGAAGAGTGTTGACTACCTTTATCTTTAGAAAGGGACTTTACATATTCACCAAACAGCAAATCCATGTAGTCTCTAACTCCCTCCTCTAAAATTGGACCTTCTTTCCCAAATATCATTTGAAGTGCAAAGCTAACTGAAACAAACTTGTGACGAGGATCCAAAACACAAGAAATAAAAATCATCTTGTTCATCCTCTTTGGAGTAGCCCAATACTTATCAAATTTTTCTCTCATATTCAAAGAAATTTTACCCAAAAGATCATCATTATCATCTTCACTCGATATCAATTATTTCAAATAACAAGAAACCTGACAAATTTTAAGAAAATTTGAGTTTGTTGTGCCATAGTGTGATCCAGATACTTCTCTGGTAAGATCATAAAAAATTTGAAGAAAATTAGCAATTTTTCTTACATTGTCCGAGTCATCACTCAAAAGGGCACCAACAACGCTTTCATCTTCATCCTTTCCATCTTGATCCTCAACAAACTGAAGGTAATGTAACAAGCCAAAATCACGAGCAGCATAACTGAAAAACACATTTTCAAACTCAATAGCCCTATTTAACATCAAGTATGTGGAGTTCCATCTCGTAGAAACATCCAAACATAAAGATTTTTTACTATTAATATCAACATCTTCACAACATTCTTGGAACCTTTTACACCTTGCAGGAGACAACCTTATGTATTTAACTGCTTTTCTAACCCGTTCAATAGACACATCAGACACCTTCAAACCATCTTGAACAACAAGATTTAGAATATGCGCCATACACCTCACATGAAGGTGTTCTCCATTCATGAAATTGATCCCCCGTTTAGTGAATATCTTAGACAACTCTTTCACAGTCACGTCATTCGAACTAGCATTATCGACTGTGATGTAAATGTTTTATCTAAGCCCCAATCACGCAAACACTTAATAATCTCATTAGCCATATCTTCACCTTTATGGCTGGAAATTGGACAGAAGTTGATTATCCTCTTATGCATAATCCATTCATTATTGATCCAATGTGCAGTGATAAACATATAATTAATCCGTTGCAAAGAGGTCCAAGTATCAGTTGTCAGACATACTCTTTGTCGTGCTTCTCCGAAAAATCTCTTCAACTTTTGCTTCTCTTCATCTAAAAGGTTAAAACAATCACGTGTCACAGTGGTACGAGAAGCAATCTTAAAATGAGGTTGCGCTACTTTCATAAAGTTTCTAGAACCTTCCTTCTCGACAAACTTGAAAGGTAGTTCATCCACAATTACCATGCGGCATAAAGCTCTCCTACATTGTTCTTGCTCAAATTTCCAGGAAACAACAGCCACATCACTCGTATTCCCTCCCTGAACAGATTGAAAGCCTATTTGAGTTTGACTTTTATCAACGCTTTTAGGCATCTTTGTACATGTTAACATATGAGTAAGCATTGCCTTTGTCTCATTTTTAACTGAATCAACAAAATAATCTTGACCGCAATGCTTACACTTTGATTTCTTATTTCCTTCTTCATCAACAAATGATCCAAAATGATTCCATGCTCGAGACCTTTTTTTTCTTTCTTTTGTAACCTTTGGCTGAACAGATTGTGTTTGACGCATATCACCCAGGACCACCACCTCATCAGTTGAAATATTTTCAGCCATATCTATGTCTCTGTAAAATATGATTTAGACAATAATCACTAATCAGGCAGCAATAATGAAATAATTTCATGGTAAACTAAAGAGATATCTTAAAGGAGGTCTTCAACATTACTCAAAAGGAAAAAGAATTCTTAAGAAAAATAATCAAATGCTTACCAAATGTAACCTAAATTAGGGTGTTTCATTCTAGTCGGGTACATTATTTAAGAGCGAGATCATTTTTTTGAGGAATTGAGTATGGAGAAATAAGAAAAGCATAGATTACAGAAGAAGAAAATTATACAAGGATAGATATTAGAGAAGAAGAGAAATTCGAAAAGGGTAGAAAATCCTCACTGTCGCCTAGTTCTTACTATCATCGTTGTTGCGAACCCTCCTTGGAAACTTGTTGGTGTTGCTGCCGCCGTTGGCTCGTTCCTAACCCTAAATTTACTCTCTAGGTTTAGAGTAAAAACTAAAAAGTAAAGACTAAGCGCCAAGCAGTAAGTACTAACTACTAAGTAGGATACTGCAAATCTAATATAGAATCTACTTATGTATTAAATTATTTATATTTAATATTTAGGAAGGGTAACGTAGTAAATAACTATCATTTTATTAGGTTATCGGTTTATCCAATAACCCATTAGGAAAAACTGAAACCGAACCAATATCCCAATAATTTTTTTTATAAACGCATTAAAAACCTAATATCCCAATAACCCAATAACATTTTATCAGTTTGGTTTATTGGTCGGTTCGGTTTTTGCACACCCCTACCTACATACCTACCTGGGTTCGGGAATTCTACTTAGCTTATGGGGAGTTGGTCCCGAAAAGCAGAAAGAAGGCCACTGATTTCCGACCAGTGAAATCGGTTATGGTTAGAGGCAAGGAAGTAGAGTGTCACAACGAACACATAAATGATGTATTGGGACGACCGCTACACTCGGTACTTCCCTACTATGGTTTGCCTATTGCCCCGTCGCTCGATGATTTGAATGGTTGGTTAGATCTGATGATCTCTGATACCACCCCGAAGTTGATAGATGCAGGAGTTCCCATTGAGAAGAGGGATATGAACACCGCCTCTCGGTATTGGTTTGGGTTCATCAGCAGCACTATCATGTCGTCCTAGAAATAGTCCATTCTACGTCATCCGAATGCGGCTTGCCTTGGTTATATCATGTCCATGAGGCAGATCGACCTGGGATTGTTGGTTTCATAGGAGATAGCTATGAGGGCCAAATAGACACAGCCGTCTCTGCCATTTCCTGTACTGATCACTGATCTATGCCAGCGAGCTGGAGTACCACGTGACATTACGAGGGATGTTGAGGTTACCCCATCTTCCTCCACCTACATCCGGCGTATAGAAGCCGAGTTCTCACAAGAGGAGATTGATAGGAGGAGGTTACCCCCAACAGATACATCTCCAGAGGTCGATGTTGATGCATTACCAGCAGACACACCTTCGCATACTCCGGCATCTGAGCAATCAGGTATAGGGTTTTGTGGAGACTTGAAGAAAGGAGTTCTTCTTCCCCAAGTTGGAAATGGGTCTTCTCTATTCACTTCCCTTTGCTTAATTAAAGGTTTAATTTCTTATACCCAGTTGATTTCTTTATCATGTTAGGTATAATTTCTTATTTCTTGATGTGTGGCTAAAAACCCCCATTCTTGGGGTCTGATTTAGCAAATATGGGTTGATATTCTTGTTGGGTCTTGCTTGCTGATAGGTTAGATGTATGTTAATGGTGATTTCACCTAGTGGTTGTGGTTTAATCTAAAGTGTTTGTAGTTGCAAATACAAAGCCACCCATGTGTTTTCAGCTTGCCCGAGAGGGAGGTCGCGAAACCAAAACCACTAGACTGATGGCCTAAGGAGTGGGTCGACATAAGGTTCAGCCCGAGAGGGTGAGCCGTAGTCCCATATCCTAACACTCAGCTCGAGAGAGTGAGTGGGGTAAGGCGTAGGCTGGTCTTCATGCGGCAAATGGGTGTCCGACAGGAATGCATTTCTAACGGGGTAAAATGCCTGAGAGGGAACTTATTTCCATTTAAAGCTTAGCCTAGTCACTATTGTCTTGCAAATTTCCTATCGAAAGCATGTACCCAACATTTTATCTCAACTTATTTTGCGGTCACATCCTAAGAACCTTTCCCCATACTTGATTTTCTTGTTTATTTTGCTGTTTTATTACTTGTTACAAAACCCCATTTGATATTTGACACTTTAGTGTCACCCCCTTTAATTTACTATGTCTTTTATCGCAAAAGTCTTTAACGACGACTAACATGAATGAAATTCTAATTGGTTATTAATTCTCAAAAACCGCTCCCTTGAGACACGACCCCAACCTTTAGTTGGGTTACTATACTATCGATGATCATAGACACTCATACCGTAGGTTAGTATCGTTGGTCACGATAAGCATCACTGCATTCATGTATGCAGGTCCTGACAGACGACCCAGTAGACCTCCTCAGTAGTAGGATTGACTTCTATCCTGTTGGCTAGCCCTTTTCCTCCGGAGCTGCCAGAGTTGGGAGGTTTGCTATCTTTTGTTGTATATATTTTCATGGGTAGGCTAGGGCCCTGTCCTGCCGATATTCACTACTCTTAGAGGCTTGCAGAGTAGTTTGTGGGGTTTATAGCTACGTTATGGCCATGCTGGTCTAGTTTGTTGGTTTGCTGAAGCTTGTTAGTTGTGTGATGCATTGTCTTGATATACCTGCTTTCAGTTTTGGTATAGAGATCATGGTGGCCTCGATAGCCAAATCAGGACTTCTGTGCTAGTTGGCTATTTCTTTATATGAACTCTTGCGAGTAGCCTTTTTTTATGGATCTGTTTATAGGGGCCTTGTCGACCGATGGCTTAATTTTAAGCCGAGATATACTTGTTTATTTTCTTGATTGCGTGTGGCTGCCATGCGCTAGTAGCAAATGGTTCAGCAGGGTCGGTTCAAGCATGAGTTTTGGCATTAGGAGCCAGTTGTGCCCCTTAAATATGGGGGTGACACAAACAGTGGAGATTATTGAAAGCATAAAAAATAGCCTAAAAATAATAGTAAAACCAAAAGTGTCTTGATTATCAACAATAAATTAAGATTACAAAATTTGATCACCAAATGTTCAACCAAAAAATGTGTTCAAAAAGAAATCTATCGTTTCTCCCCACTTAAGATATCTCAGAGTTTCAATAATCATTCAAAATTAAACCCTGAGGAATTAAAATACTCTTAGAAAAGAGTCTTACATGATGTAGGAGAAATACTGACGACACTCTTCACGAGCAAGTTAACGGTCCGTGAGGAAGTACACAGCCTGTTAACCCCTTTGTAAGCCATCACTTAGAAAAAAAGTTGTCTATCTTCACTGCACGAGCCACTGTGCAGCTTGTATAGTGTACCAGGATCCATCTGGGGCCTCGTTTAGTAACACTTCACTTTTCTTTCTTTTAGATCACTTCCACGAGCATCTTCATTGCTCGTGCAATACTTCACGGCTCGTATAGCCACTAGTGTAGTCTCTTTCACTTGCCACGTTACTTTTACTCATTTCCTTCCTTCAATTCATTCCAAGTGTTTTTAACTACACATTAGCAAAATAAACATCATAGCCACATAAACAAGCTCGACTTCTTTCACTAATCCTTTGTTTTGGGCGTCAAATGTGTTATGAGTTCACGACACATCAACACCCTCAACTTAGAATTATTTCTTGTCCTCAAGTGATGAAAAAGAACAACATTTGATGCTCAAATACGTAGGAACAACATCACAGATATGCATCAACTATTTCCACAACACTTCAATCCAAAATTATCTACTTAGCATGCAAGGATTAATGGACGATATCCCATTATACACAACCAATCATGCTTATACTAGTACCAACTATTAACTAACATAACAAACTAGAAAAAGTAAACATAGAGCCCTCACACTAAAGAAGTCCCTCACACATGATATTTGGGACTAACAAGTACTATGACTCTCCAAAAGAACTTCTAACACTGCAAGTATACATACCATAGGATTGCCCTTGTTTTCTATACTTCAACTATCAAACAATCGGAATAGGATCAATATATGACTTTTATTGGCTTGTAGTGTTGTCTCAAGTTAGGGAGTGGAACATTTTGGTCTATGAGTGACTAGATTACCCTAGTTCCCCAAAGTTCTTATTAGAACACATCTCTTATTTGAGTGGTTCCAACCTCTTTTTCTTTAGCACATCCCAGTACCCATATAATATATTATTTTATTTTATTTTTATCATTTTTCTTCTTATTGTAACTACCATTTACTTGAACCATCCATAACATACGATTTGGTTTCGTGCCTTCGGAATAAAAAAGTATATGATACTGCTAAACTACTTCTTTTTCATTTAGGTCATGACCACCCTCAACTTAGGGTTTTGGCCTGAGTTGTGGCATCGTGCCTTCGGAGAACCAAGGATACAATATCAAAAAGGTGACAACAAAATAAGCCTCAAGGCTAAATAAGGTTCAAGGGTTAATGATTTCATTTGGTAGTTATTTTTTGCTAAAGTGGACTAAAACAAAATAATGGCCTATGATCATTTCCTATCCAATTAATTAACAATCTTAGCAAGACTACTTGGGAAAGTTCTAGCTTACACCTATAGAGTTAGACTTCCTTCCAAAATTACACTCACATGGCACATGCCTACACTTTTAGTACAACCAATTTATGTCCCAGTTAGCAATGGTCAACACGCAAGTATTGAGTGATGTACCATGAGTTTATGGTATTTTTAATGCATTATATTTGAAGTTAACATGCGTATGAGGAAAATTTGTTAATAGATGTGATAGTATTTTGGTCTAATCTTACAGGAAATAGGTTTTGAGCAGTTAGAGTTTAACGTAGCTTAACCATCAAGATTTTGGCAACAGACGAGCTCACCCATGAGCCATCATTCACTTGACGCTCCATAGGTGTAGCCATAGGTGGTGTGATTAAGGAAATTAGACCAAGTGTGGAACCAC